CACAGTGAGGTGGCTGCTGCAGGAGCACCAGCATCAAAGCCTCGCCTTGCCAAGGGGTGCCAGCCTGGCACCTTGCTCACAGCGTTTGTGCCAGCTGTGACACAGCTGTGAGCCCTCGCTGCCATCCCTGCTCCTGGAGAGGAGCTCTCGCTGCCATCCCTGCTCCTCTCCAGGTGTTCTTCCCTCAGTGGAGGCTGCAGGACCTGACTTGGGCATCCAGCCCTACAGCTCTGGGGTTTCAGCAGCCCATGGAGGTGATGCCCTGGTACGCCCAACCTTAGCTTGCTGCCTTACAGAGCAATGAATCCCAGAAGAGCATTTTTGACTAGTACTTTGCTCCCACACGTGGGAAGCACCCCACTAAATGCTCCTGGGAAAGAGGAGCCAGCCCTTGGAATCAGAGCTGCTTTGGGAGATGGATGATGGAATGCTATGCACCCAGCCACAAGAAGGACAAGTGCTAGGCAGTCAGCAGCAGTCTTCTTTACTATGGACCACAGGAGATCAGAAAAGTAACCTTGTTAACAGGAGAGCTAGCGGCTAACAAAATGTCATGCTGTAGGACGGACTAGAGAAGCACAATCACCAGAACAGAACGGCACCCAGGGGGACAGGGAAGCCCAGGGGGTTGCAGGAGATGCTCTACAGCAAATCTCTAGTGTGGTATTGACACGTCTGTGAGTGCAGGGGCTGGCTGCATGTGTTCCTTTAGTCTTGGACACAAGGCAAAGGGTCTTCACCTTTACCCAGTTCCAGTGGCTCTGGCACAACGATTATTGACTTTTTTCAGAATAAAAATACTAATATAATTTTGTTCCAAGAACTTTGTGCAACAATCATTTCTCCAGGTGCAGTGAAAGGAGGGCAGATAGGAAAATGGCCTTCCCAGGGTTGTCCTTGTGGCTCCTGCCCTCTCCTCACTGACACCACAGCTCTCCCCAGCAATCCTCTGTGGCTTTGCCTTCCGTGAATCCCAAACAAGGTTTTTCAGAAAAAAAAGGGGGAAAAAAAAGTATTGCTGCTTCTTCTTGTAATATTTTTCCTCTCTCTCTCACCCCCCCGTTTCTCCTTAAAAATGTTTACTTTCAAAAATTCCATTCCTGCAGAGATTCCTCCTGAGCTCTGAGGTCTCTGGACTCCACCCTCCTCTTCGCCAGTCAGAAAAACTGAGTCTCGATGTCTCTTTGGTTAAAAAAAAAAAAAAAAATTAAAAAATAGCACAAACAAAGAACACACAACCCAGTATGATCCCATTCCACCCCGCGGACGCCTGATGAGAGGGTGTCTGTGGAAGAAGGAAGCATCAGAGACGAGCTGTCTGCTCTGGAAGCCGAGGTCTCCGCTCCGTCCCGCCGCTCTCCTCTCTCATACGGTGGTCGCCGGCCCGTACTGGAGCACCAGCGGGGACGTCTCC